TTTAATTTTTTTTTTATTTATATATTTTTAATTGATTTTTTTTTATTTATTTTTTTTTATTTATTATTTCATACAGTCTAATAACTTATATTATAAATTTTTGTATAAATACATTCATACAGTTTTTGAAGTATCGTTTCGTTGCTTTAAAAAGGCTTCAGTTTAAAGTCCCATCTAGCAGTGGGACCATCATATCCAATTCTTAGAATACACCCAATTACAGGGTATAGCTAGTAGTTGTGCTGTTATGGAAAACAAATAGCGGCACTTGGGCGCTGTTTCTGTTTTTAACTTTTTGCTGGGGGTGAAATACAAAGTAGAAGACGAGACAGAAGACGACGACGAAGCTGATGAAGAAGAAGGAGCAGCAGCAGCAGCAGCAACAAAATGTAGACGACAATATATTTCATGCGGAATTCTGTCCCACGACGCGACGTAGCGAGCGAGCGAGCGAGCTGAGAAAATGAATCATGTTGTGAATGCGAATGAATGTTTTGAAATCGATTCGAATGAAATGTCTAAAACACACCTAACCATATATATATATATATATATATATATATATATATATGTATATATGTTTTTATATATGAACATATATCGGGCACGAACATTGCATTTGATTGCAAATTGCAATTGTAATTGGGTTTCCAATTGTTGTAATTGACTTTGGTTGTTGTTATTGCTATTCTCATGGTTGTTGTTGCTGTTAATGTTGTTCTTGTTGTTGCTGCTGTGTGGTTGCAATTCGAGTAACAACAACAGAAATGCGACATTAATTACAAAACGCTTGCGATGTTTTCATGTCGCGTCTCATTGCAACCCCCTCCGCTCCCTCTGCGCCACATGCCTCACTCAATATCCAGGCGAAGCACCCGCCCACATGCTGCGACTGACCCCTCCAACAAGCAGCTGATAAATTGCCAATGCACGACAAAGAACAACAACAAAACCAACAACAACAACAACAGCAACAGCAACAAATACACAGCCAAGTCGTGAAAGTTACGAAACTGCATTGATAACGAATGAAAATTTAAAACACGTGCGAGGGCAATAGCAATCGGGGAAGAGAGCGAGAGAGCGAGAGAGAGTGAGTGAGTGAGTGACATGAAATATCGCAACCAATTGGCCGATTAAATCGCAAAATTGAGAATCGAATCGGAGGTATGATTAATGCCTGTGAAATGTGAATGAGCCGCTAATGCGAAGCACAAATAAAGACATAGAATGAAACATCGTCGTAGACATAGCAAAAACAAATCGGGAAACAATCATAATCAATTTCAAATAAACTTAGTATTTATAAGAGCAGCTAAAACCTGTTTAAGCCTCGTCCATGTATGTATATGTGTGTGTGTGTGTATTTAAGTGATAGCTGTGATCATGATGAAACATAGAATGAGGGAATTTCCTATCAATATATATACAGAGAGTGCATCAGAGCTAGCTGACACAGAACAAAGAAAATATTGCCCTAAATTGCAGAGTACAAAAAAAAAAAAAAACATAGAAACATAAAGTATGGATGACAATCGAAATAATTTACAGACTTATAGAGCAACAGCATATGAAACATGGAAAGGGAAAATAAATAAATATTAAAAAAAACATAGAATATAGAAATTGAGTACCAATAAGTGCATAGTATGGGCCATTGGTACTTTTAAATATAGAAATAGAGAACTAGAACTAATGAACTAGCATGACAAAAACATAGAATATGTAGAATCATAGAGAATGCTCTAAAGAACAAACATGACAAAAACATAGAATGTAGACTTGAGTAGAATATCATACAGCTATAATATCAAATAAACAGAATAAGGGCAAATATCATATGACATGAATATAATATATTGTCACATTCATCACCAAAAACAAAAAACTTATCAAAAACATAGAAAATATCATAAAATAATGGAATCATATAGCTACAATATCAAATTTTGAAAGGACAAATGCCAAATGATACTCAGAACAAATCAAAAGCATAGAAAATATTATAGAATCATATAGCAGCTCTATCAAATGAACAAAATTGGAACAAATTCCATAAAGAGACTAGAAACCATCGTATAGAACATTTCATAGAATCATCCATAGCCTCAATATGATATGAAGAGAATAAGGACAAATGCCATTAATGACTCTATGAGCAATGCCTTTTATAGTTTTTATTGCAAAATGCAAATATGTCCATACATATATCCATAGTCCATAATTGTGATCCAATTATGAATTTGATATACATGCGCCGCCTTTAAAGGCAAATATAAAAACAATGCCCATGTGTGAATTATATTGAAATTTATTCACAATTACAAATATGTATTTCGATTTATTGCTTATGAATGGGCTTTAACGATAAGCGGAAAGACGACCGCAAAAAGCAAATATCTATATGACGAAATATGTTTGTAAATGTGTGCGTATGTGTGTGCGTGTGTGTGTGTTTGTGCGTATAAATAAATTTAAAATTCAGTGAAGCACAACGACGCAAAATGAAACCCACTTTGTTCTCGGCCTTAGAGATGACTCGCGACTCGACCCAGCGAGCGCTCCATCATATATTTTTTTTGTGTATTATTATTATTTTTGCTGGGGTTTCTTTTCAATTTCTTTTGATGTCAAAACATCGCAAGCAATACAGATGAAAGATGGAAAAAAATGGAGAAAAAAAAAAAACAGTAGCAAATGTTTATAATTGCTTATCACTAGAAATTGTTGTTATGTGACTCTCTCTGTGTGTGTGTGTGTGTGTGTGTGTGTGTGTGTGTTATATGTGGGGCACTCGCCCAGCTCGACACATAACTTGACCGACTCGACTTCCTTTCGGGTAATTCAAATGATGTCCATGCCTATAAAAAGACCCACTTAGACCATGAAAAAAAAAAAAAAACTCGAAATGAAACGTAAATATGTACATATATAAATATATGTGCATAAGTAAACAAAAAGAAAAAAAAGAAATATTTTTCCATATTTTCAACAAAATGAAATGGATACTTGCCACACACACACACGCACACACAGATGCGTTGCGGCAACAGAATTATTGTTAAAAGTTCATAAAGCCAGCTATAAAATACAAGAAGACAAAATAAACATTCTTAAGCAGCAGACAACGCACTGCAAATGCTCTAATAAACAAATCGAATCATGGGAAATCATTTATTAAATGAATTTGTAAGAATTCAACAAGCTCAAACATGTTGGGCGAAGATGCAAGAAATAAAAGTGTTGAAGTAATTTATTTGAATAGAAAATAAATTTTATACAAATATTATATGCAATATTTATAATATCTGGCTGATCTGGCACTAACATATTTTGTTTACAATGTTGAAAGTGGATGTCAAATTTTGACAGCCGCTTAATCAAACATACAATTGTTAGCACAAATATTGTGCATGCCGCAATTTGCTTGGCTTGGCTCATGTCAAAACTTATCTAAACAAAATCTTTAGGCCAAAAAATACAAACTAGAAGAAAACCTTGAATTTTGGATGTCAGCATCGAGATGAACTTTAAATATATGTGCATATATTTGTAAATATGTGTCATGGATATACAAAATTATAGATGAGCATAGAAAGCAGAGAATATTGCTGGCTATAGATCGTATGTGTGATAGCTTAATGAAGATGTTTGTGGCAGATGGAATTTTGGTTGTGTATTAAGTAAAATAACTGTCAAAACTATTGTTGACTGCTTGACATAACTTGCTAAATATATGAAATAGGAAATATAGATAGATGTATATATAATATATTTGTCATAGATTTCATGCTTGCATGATAGAGTTTCCTGTCTATGAAGATATAGATCAGTTGCTCTTAGACCAAAAATGTTTATCTATATTAAGTCAGTGGACCGTCAAATATTCGAATAACTGGCTGTCAATACGTTTTCAATTTATAAAAATGATAATATTGATGTAAAACATACGATTTATAGAATATCCCTTGATAAAGTTCGATTCGATCAATTTATAGATCAGTCAGGTGGGATTGATCTTTAACTTGCAGATCTTCAAGTCTAAGTTAACTGACTGTCAAACCAAATGTTAATTATTTGACAAATCGTGCTCAATATCTTAAGGAAAAGTTTGATATTATTCAAACATATATTCCATAGATCCTAACTCTGATAACTCTGATAGCTGAAGAAGTGTGTCTAGCTAACATATATTCGTTAACTGTCTGACAAACTGCCTGACATAGCTGTCATACCTCTATCTAAAGAGAGAAAGAGAGAAAGAGAGGGAGAGCATTACCGTATCCGAAAGCCGCCCCGGCCAACGACACCAACCGCAGCCCAGTTGGCTGAGTGTTTGACAAGCAGTCGACACTTGGAGGCGTGGTGGCGAGGGGCAGGCGGTTTAGCAGGTGTTGCCGGTGGGCTGGACTGTGGGCGGGTCTGTTGTGGAATCTATATGTCTCTAAAAGCGTCGCACGGTGCACGTCACATAATATCAGACCAGACAGAGACCACACATCAGCCCCAGCCCACAGCCCCCCCCAGCGCCTGTCCCAGTGCGTTTGGGACTGCTGTTTTTATTAGTAATAACATTTTGAAAGCCTCGAAACAGGGTCGTTAAATTAAAATTCATGCATTGAGTGCTGTGCGAGTGTCGAGTGGGATATACGATATGCGATATGCGTTACGCGATACCTAAACCCGGCTGCAGCCCACACACAGCAGCAGGTAGGCGGGGGGAGGGTGGCCAGGCGTGGCTGGGCGCTGATAGCAAATGCGAGCAGAGTTTTGCGGTGCGCCGTATTAAATATCGAATTCAATAAAACTGATTGACACATGTCTCGTGTCTGTGTGTCTGTGTGTGTGTATGTTTGTCAATCGAGCTGCAAGCGTGGCATGTTGCAAGCAACTGCTGCTGCTGTTGTTGTTGTTGTTGTTGTTGTTGTTGTTGTTTTGGTAGCATCAAATATGAGAGTTTTATCCACAGCATTACGATGTACTAAACGTAAACTTTACAGCATGTCGCAGGAGCTAACGAGCAACGTGACCAACTCAATGGACACCATGGAGGACACGTCCAAGGTGGAGGTGATTGTCTATACCAAGTCGGACAAGACGCTCAAACAGAATATGAATGCCAAGGACGATACGCTGCGCAAGCGTACCTCATTGATCATAGTGCCGCAGCAGGTGGACGATCTGCTCGATGCGGCGGCAGTGCAACAGCAGGAGCAGCGGCAGGAGCAGCAGCAGCAGCAACAACAACTCCAACTGCAACATCAGCAGCAACAGCAGCTCACAGAGAACGGCAATCGCAATTCGATAGCCAGCATGGATAGCTGCGTCTCCACCAATACCAGCCAGAGCAATCAGTCGAGCGTCAGCTCCAGCTCGAGCACCAGCTCCGAGGATGCCCATGCCGCCTATCAGGATCTGCAGAATGGCAATGGAGCCGATGAGCTGGCCGCCATGCATTCGCCCGGCTGCTCCAGCACATCGGAGTCGACATCCTGCAGCAGCTCAGTGGATTACTCGCTGCGCGAACAGCTCCACAACTATGCCAATCGCAGCGAGGAGCAGCTGAAGTGCATCAATCACCATGAGCTGCCCACTGCCGCCCAGCTGCTCAAGGGCATGAGTCTGCCCATGGAGCAGGCGGCCAGTGGAGCGGCCGCCCATTGTGATGCGTTGCTCAGTCCGCAGGAGGTGCCGCTGGGTCGCCGTTACGCCGAGGTGGCACAGTTCAAAGGTCACAGCAAGGCGAGGTGAGAACTCAAATGCAACTGCGACTGAAATACTCTCTCTCTCTCTCCCTCTCTCTCTCTCTCTCTGAAATCTCATTCTCAACTCAGAGGAGAGCTCCCTAGACAGCTTTTAATTTCCATTATTGTATCAATTATTATTTTTAATTTATTCAATTGCTTTTAGTGCACGTTTTGTCTTCACTTTATTCATTTGATATGTTTCATTATAAAGTTTTCCCTCAGCTCTGTTGAAATTTGCCTTTTGGGATTTTACAGCGCTTTAACTTATTTCTCTCTCTCTTTCTCTCTCTCTCTGTCTGCCTCTCTCTGTTTTGTGCAAATCCCTGAAGGCTAATAGAAAAAGTTTTTAGTGCATTTTGTTTTCATTTCAGCAACATTTAACCTGCAACTCAATTGACCTTTAATTGGTTTTTGTTGTTAAATTAGATTTGTCTTTTAATATAATGAAAACTTTGATATAATATGAGTTTGGCCATATTTTAGTCGAATATATGTGGGCGATTTATTGCTGGTAGCCTTGGTCCTTCTCAGTCATTCTGTTCATATTTTTCCGCTTGCCTCCAGTCTCTCTCCCTGCACGTGCTGCCCTTTTATTGTCTCGTCACGTGTTCCGCCACTTCAGCAAAGCCGTATTCGATTTTAGTGTTCATTAACATTCTACTCAAACAGCATTATACAGCACTGTCTCTAGCACTGTTATAAATATGTATAAGGGGCGCTCTATTCCAATAATAATTCATTTCAGATATATTTCATTGCTCATTCGTCAGAAATATATATTTTTCTTAGTAATCCCTCAAAAATATATCCGATAATTCGAAATGGCAAAGGGATCAGTTTTTTTTTTTTCAAATTATCTATAATTATCTAGAACGAATTTTCTTTTCAAGGGGTTAGAATTTGTTTTCGATTTATTGCGATTCTCGATTTATCGGGGTAAAATTTATCGAGACTCGACTGTATTTTGTTTATAAAACGTTCTATTCCAATAATAATCATTTCTCCGAACACATCTGGTTAATTCACCAAATAAATGCAGTAGAATCCGGTTAAAATGACTCCGTTTATAGCGTTTACATGGATATAACGACAATCCATTCAGCATCGGTTGAACCGGATTCTACTGCATTGATCATTTGCTTCCTTCTTATAATTTTATCGCCGACTTATCCAGAACGATATAATTTATTTCGATTTATCGCGATTTTCTATTTAGCGGCGTACAAATTATCGAGACTGTACTGTAACTTGATCTTAATTTTATTTTTCATTTCATTGAGGGTTTGAAATGTATTTCTATCTGAGCTCTGCCTTTAGCTTGTATGACTTCCGATTACAACATCCAGTTTATAATTTTAAATTAGCTTAGGGTTACCACCTTGATCTCCCCATCCCCTTGGCCCCACTGTCAGCTCGGTTAACTCTACTAATTCTCTATCCCTGTTCAAGTCTTATCTCTTAGCGCAGCTCTCGGCTTTGTCTCCTACCTGCAGCTCATTTGAGCCCTAACCGAGTGCTTCCTACTTTCCAGCACCTTAAGCTCGCTGCTATCAGTTCAATCTGTCTGCGGTTCATTTTGCAGCTGCTACACATACACATCTATATCATCATATCAGTGTGGCATCTCTCTTTGTTTTCGCTAGCTGTCTCTTTCTATTGTTATATCGGTATTCCAGCATTTTGCTGGCACGAGCACGAGCAACGGCATTGTTTCGATACCCTTGACGTGCTTGAACTAAACGATGTCAATTGCTCACTCAACTTGAGCAGCGCCAACTAGCCCCACCCAAAGACCCCCCACCCGAAACCCTAAATAACTAAGCACTATTTGCAGTCTGCCGCTGCGGCCAGCCTCCTTGGCATCTCGCTGCAATCCCATCGCCTTGGTTGTCGTCTTGCTGCACATGCATAATACACAACTTAATTAGTATTATAACTTTATAGCACTCTCGAGGACGACGACGACGCGAGAGTGAGAGAGTGAGAGAGCGAGCGAGCGAGCGAGTGGGCGAGACCGCAAGCAAACCCACTTTTTGTTCCTCTTACTCCTTGACAGTCGGAGTCGGAGCTGAGCTTGAAATCTAATAATGGCACATTCCATACACGCATTGCCATTGCCACATTACCATATCAAAAACGACGACGAGTGCGACTCCAACTCCAACTCCAACTCCAACTCCGGCTCTGACTCTGACTACGGCTTGTGCCTGCCCCACGGGCACAGACAAGTCCCTCGGCAACCCTCGGAATCTCTGCGTATGTGGCTCAGCCATGCATAGCTCAAAAATGCAACGGTTCTTTTCTATATATATAGATATGTATGTATATACATATATGTATGTATGTATGTATATATATGCATATATTGTACATATTGCGTTGTTTATGAACTTTAAACGTTTGTAGCTCGCACTCATTCAGAATACTTTAGCTCTCCCCCTCTCTCTCTCTCTCTCCCTCTCTCACTCTCTCAGAGACCGCTGGAGCATTGTCAATGCAAGGTACTCTATGGATTAGTACGGCAATCCACTTCACATCCACTCGACTGTCGCCCATTCGCCCCTCCTCTCTCTCTCTCTCTCTCCCTCTCTCCCTCTCTCTCTGCTCTGCCATTGACAACTATGTTGAACTTTTTGAGAGCTGTCACAACTAATTTGCATAGACCCAACCATGCACCCACCCATCCACACCCACACAGACACACACACACACACACACACACACACACATGTTTGGCTTCAGCTGTGTGTCTCTGTTGCATCGACACCAGGAGCAACACGCTCAACTTCTCTGCACTAAACCCGTTGTCTGCATATTGTTGTTCCATATTTGCTTTTTCTGCAGCTCTGCCTGAATTTGGTTTTTGTCTTGTTTTGGGCTTTGATTTGCATTCAGTACTTTTGTTTAGGGTTGGGGGAGGGGCTAACAAATATTCATGATGGCCACAACGTTTTTTTTTTTTTTTTGCCACGAGGAAAATATTTTTGTGCGCAGCTCTGATTGAGAATGGCTTGGAAAATGCTGGAATTTTCATTTAAGCCAGAGCACGCCCAAGCTTCGATGGCATGTGAATACAGAAATGAGAGTGCTGCTTGAACCTGCACGACTAAGGAGTTACCCTGTATTGAAATGATTTGTACTCTAAAATCTATATGGACTTATATCTGTATTTATAAAGGAAGCCTTTTGATCTGTTGTTTGCTGAGCTTGCTCGACTTGAAAGTACCCTAACCATTTTCCATTTAATTGTATTGATTTGATTTTTGAACTCTTTTCAGCTGGGGTTTCTCTTTGTATAACTCTAAATTATAGAAATACTCTTGTTGAGAATATTCTTGAGTGTTTGCTGAGCCTGTACAACTAGTAAATACCCTGTCCTACTTTATTAACCTTGTTTTGGTTTGCTTACTGAGCAGATTTTCGCTTGGGTTTTGTTTACTATATTTTATATATATTAAAATACAGAAATATTTTATTCCAGTAGCATTTGTATAATATTTATATAGAGCAAACTCTTTGAATATTTTAAGAACTTCAGCGGAAACTTTAGAAATGGCATATCAATTCTCAAAATGTTTAAGTATACTGAAGATTAGTTCTCCATTCTTGACATGTCTATCGTATATAAGAAGCGCTTAATTATATTATAATATTATATGCCAATGTATAACTATATAACATCATGAAAATCATGAAAGTTTGTTATAAATCTTTGCCTGTGCTTGTCTCCACTCCCATCGACTCCCATCCAATGGCTTACAGGGTATTTCCACATATTTCTGTAGACAATCACATTAAGCATTTAACGTTGATTCATGTTTTCATTTTGTTGTCTATCTATTTCATCTGTTTCTCGCATGTATCAGGCGGTTGACGGGCTCTCTGTGATTGCTCGTTGAGCAGTGCCCAAATGTCTAGACTTGCGAATCGCTAGTCTTCTTTCCATCATATCTGGAGAACCATAACCTAAACTGCTAAATTGCCATCCGCTAGTCTCTTGCATAACTTGACCTAGGCCTCGGCCATAATTGCCCTAGTCCCCGTCCTTGATGCGCCAAACCCAACCACGATTCGACGTCGTCGTCCACTTTGCCACATTTTATCTTAATTGCCATGCGTTGGCAATTTACATGCGGCGCCACAACAAAATATATGTTGCATAAATTCTTCACTTGGCAAACAGTTGTGGGTCGCGAGCGACACGCTCGCCATATCCTTCAGCCACACAACTCAGCTACTAGATGCTCTGTAATTTTTTATTTTCAAAGTGGGTCGATTGTGATACGAAAAATCGATCATGATTCAGCATGGCATTTGAAACTTAAGAGATCAGCTTCTGTATAATATATAATAATAAATAGCAAATATAATTTATAAAATAAACAAATATATAGAGTATATATATTTCGTTGGAAAATATGTATTAGCATTTCTGAATTACAGATTTCGATATTAGATTTAAAAAAAAAAAAAAATTAATAAAAAATTTTGTAGAACTTTTTACGATAATTTAATAAATATTTTTGTTATTTATTTTTTGTTTGTGTTTCAATAATGTAAGGGGAAAGTCTTATTTTTGTATTATTTTTATATGTTTATCTCATAAATATTTTAGTTAATTATTTTAATTTGTGCTCTGATAATAGTAGAGAAAAATCATTTTTCTTATTATTATTAATATTTTGTATGTTTATCTCATAAATATTTGTATTATTTATGTTAATTTGTGCTTTAAAAATATGTATAAAAAATACATCTTTTTGAATGATTTATTATTATTTATTATTTATCCCATAAACATGTTTTATATTTATATTTATTTGTTCTTTACCAATATTTTTTAAAATATTTTTTTTTTTTTTTATATATAATATATATATATATTTTTTTTTTACAATTACCTCACAAACTTTTTGATTTGCTAATTTTATTTCGCTTTTCGTATTAAATATTAAAGATAAATCTTTAAAAAAAAAAAATAGTTGGGTTAGTTAAAAACTAATATGAATAAAATATAAGCTAATAAGTATATGTCTATTATTAATATTAGTATATTTTATTTGTTATTGTTAAATCAACCAGATTATTTCTTTAGATTTTCGTATGCTTATTGCATTTCTTGTTTAAGTATTTTTACCATATTTTATACAATATTTTGTGCAATTGCAGGGTATATTTTGGTCATGCAACTCTGTCGTTTTTGTGCATTTCCTATTGTTGCCTTGCATCGTCGCTTGTTGGCTTTTCAAATATGCTTAGTAATTTATGCGTGCTTCAGCTTCGAATTCTTGTACCTTTTGTCAGTTTGCTATGGCACCTTGGCTTGGTTGTTACGAAATCTAACTTTATACATATGTATGTGTATATACATGCAGAGATGTTTATATATACATACGTATAAAGCAGTGTGTGTTATGATTGTGGGATAAAAAAAAACTGTTTGAATTAGTTGTTGCTTTTACAGCAGTTTTTATTGCAGAATAATATATTAAATAATATCCTAAAGTTTAATATTTGATATTTCATTTTGTTAAAGTATTAGGAATTTGTATCATCAAAAAAATGATATGTGTCTATATATGCCTAAACAGCACTGTATGTTGATTTACAAATTGTGCTGTTTAGTTAGAAAAAGGAGAATCATTTGTAATTATTTTTTGCTATAAACTTTCTATAGTCTAGGGTATTGCCAAGTCTAACATGCCTTCTGTTAGCTTCTTCCGTTTTTTTTTTTTTTTTTTTTTGTCTTATGGCATGTCCTTGGCTTCTGCATAAATTCACAGCGACCCGAACTAATTCCTCTAAGTGTTTTATTATCCGTTGCGTGTTTTAGCTGCTGTTGTTGTTGTTGTTGTAGTTGTTGTTGCTTGTTTGTGTTAATTTGACATGATTATGTCAGAATGTTTGACAAGTTGTCATATGGCGTAAAAATGCTTGAGTACGCCGTATTGGCTTGCAACTTTTTCTTGGCTCGATAGAGGACCTTCGTCTTTTTTTTTTTCGGGGGGGGGGGTGGGGGTGGTGTGACTGAGGCGCTGCGTCATTGTGTGCGTCCTTGAGGCGGGCATTATAGAGCGCAAGCGGAAGCGGAAGCGGAAGCACATGCCAACCCCAAAGTTTCAGAGTCATTTCTTTCTTGCTTTTCGCTGCCTGCCTTACTTCCATTCTGTTTGCGATTCTTGTGGCAAATTCATTAATAACATTTGTGCGGCAAGTTTTCTTCTTTCTTTCTTTCTTTTTTTGCTTGCCTGCCCCGCCCACGTGCCGCCTGCTGGCAGTGTCTAGTAATATATTGTTAAAATGGCGTAAAATTGCCAGCTTTTTGGGCGTCAGTTTGTGACACGCTCCGTGGGCGTCCTTGCAGATGCTGGAGAAGGCAAAAAAAAAAAAAAAGGAGATATAAATATATAATATGTATGTATGTGTGTGTGTGTGTGTGTGAGTGTTTGTATCTAACATGTTTATGGAAGAGGGCAGGCAAAAAGAATGTGTCGCAAATTAACCTTTTGACAGCCCAGCCTCGAGCCTTGGGAGTTGACAAATGGAGCTGCTGCTGAGGCAGTGGCTGACTGAGCTGGAGCCAGAGGCAGCTGCCACGAGCTAATGAAGTGGGAGCTAATTTAAATAGATCTCTAGCAATTGGACATTGGACATACAATACGTATTCAATGTTACTTATCGCATTTCTATTTGTCTTTGCAGATCCAATGAACAGCAGCTGACGTCGGCTGCTGCTGCAGTGGGCGTGGCTGCGCCACTAACCGATAAAACAGAAGCTGTTGTGGCTGCGGTCAAGTGCAGCAACAATGGCAACAACAACAACAACAACCACAACAACAACAGCAGCAACAACAATGGCAATGGCAGCAGCTGCAATAATGCTGCGCAACAGTCACAAAAATCTCAGCTGCAGCAATCGAGCAACAACAGCAACAAATTAAATGGCCAATCAAATCTCAGTTCGAACAACAACAACAACAACAGCAGCAGCAATAGCAATAACAACAACAACAACAAAATGATATCCAACAGCCAAATGGATGGGAAGAATGGCGACAGCCGTCGCAGCAGCAGCCTGGAACCGGATGCAGACGACGTTGTCGACTTGGCCCACGGCGGAGCCTTCGATGACGATATGCAGGCACTGTTGCCCAAATGCACGCGACGCTCGAGAGATGAGCTCAGTCAGGTGAGTGCGATGAAATGAAGACAATATTATGTTAATTAAGAGCTTGGGCGAAGAAAGAGAGAGATGCAAAGAGGAAGAAACAGAATAGAAAGAGAGAGAGAGAGAGAGAGAAGTGCAAAGAACAAGATACAGAAAAATAGAGAGAGAGAGAATGAGACAAAAAGAGGGAATGCAAGAGAGAGAAAGAGAGAGACAAAAAGAGAGAGAGAGAGCGAGAAAAAGAGATAATGAGAGAGAGTCATTGAGAAAGACAAGGAAAAAGAACGCGAGAGTGAGATAAAGAGATAGAGATAGAGAGAGAGAGAAAGTACAGAAAGTATAGAACAAGAAAAGGCGAGACACAGACAAGAATAGAGAACAAGAAACAGAAGTACAAAATGAGAGCAAAACTGAGGGAGATAGAGAATTAAAGAGGGAGGCAGGGAAAGAGAGAGGATCACAAAGACAAAGACAGAGTGAGAGGTAGAGAGATTTAGACAGAGATGCAAAATAAAAGATTTATAAAGATAAAACCGCTTAAGCGGGAGATAGAGTGAGAAAGGAAAAAAGAAGGATACAGAGATAGTACGGCACAGAGAAAGATAGAGACAGAGAGAGAGAGATGTGGGAGACAAATATAAAGAAAAAAGACAGGATAGAAACAGAATCATAGTGGCGAAGCGAGATAAAGAAAGATATAGAGCGGTCCCTATATCACGGGAATGCAATAAACAGAAAGACAGTCGGATATGAGAGAGAGAGAGAGAGAGATAGAGGGAGATAGACAGAAGGAGAAAGAGAGACTGAAACAGAGTATTATGAGATTTCATGAAAGATTTGTATAATTTATTTAAAAAGAGCAGACTGATATAAGAGATTATGACAAGTAGATAAACTCCTTAATATAGATAGATACAATCGAGCAACGTAAGGACAATAGCTTTCAGATCTAAGGAACTTTTTCGCATGCTAAGAGATGATAGTCCATGAGAGAATTTCAGAATATATCTGGTAGTACATATACTTTCAATTTCATAAGCAAGAGAAACCCGGCTACAATATCTGCCCATTTATGTAAATAATCTGGTTAATAGCTTATACATGTCTTAATATTCCACTCATAAATGCATCAAATGTATATTTAAATATATTTGTGTACATATGTATATATGAATCATAACAATCTGCAAATGAATTTGGCTTTCACATTATAGAGCTCGAATTGGTATTGCATAATTAGAAATTGCTTAATGGCTGGGGAGCTCTGATTTGCGTGCGTGTGTGTGTGTGTGTGTGTGTGTGTGTGTGTGTGTGTGTGTGTGTGTGTGTGTGTGTGTGTGTGTGTGTGTGGCAACAACAACTGTTGAGCATATTGATGAGTCCTGCTTTGTATTTGTCGCACTAGCCTCATTTGCTGCTGTGGCTTCCACAGCCGAGCAACGGCAACAGCCCAGGGGCAGTGGCACGCAGTTCGTGCCACAGTAAGTGGCAATTACGCAAGCTGCCAATGGGCCATCAGCAGCCTTTGGTCGTCTAGTTGGTGCTGTTAGTCCTTTTAGTCCTTTTGTGCCTTTGTCCCTTTGTGCATGTGGCACTCATTCATTCATAATTTGCTACGTGTTGCCATGACAGCCATAATCATAATGCTGCCACCGCTGCTGCTCCTCCTGCTGCTGCTCCTGGTGCTGCTCCTCCTGTTGCTCCTGCTGCTGGTGCTGCCATAAACTGTGCATCGAATGATGCCCATTTCGACAGAAATAAAAATTACAATACACGTTCACGTCCTCTGCTCTCAAGCGATTTCCCCCCCCCACCACATCATGTTCGACACTCAAACAAGCCCCTCCCCGCACAGGACCCCCCCCCATGCTCCATGCATACTCTAGACTCCATATACCCTTGCCCATTATGGCTTCATTATTTACATGCATTCGTGCGTGCTGCGCGCTGCTCGCTGCTTTTCTCTGGCAGCTCTGGCATTCTTCATTAATAACTGCGAATCCTTTTACCATCATCATAGTCGTCGTCGTCGTCGTCGTCGTCATCGTCGTCATTATTAAAAGCGACGCCTTTATTCTAATGTCTGACAGGAAATTACAGGAAAGGCGCCGCCTAATATGAATAATGAAGCACTTTTCCCTGTATTCATACACTAACACATTCACACACACACACACACACACACACACACACTCAGTCAACACAAAACTCTTTTTGACAAGTCAATTTACTAGTTAATTTGATATGCCAGTTTGATTCACATCCACACACACACATACACACACACATACACACACACATACATGGACACATTCTCAGCTCACTCAAGCGTTAAGCGCATCGGTATGCTCTCTATAATTGCTTAATAATGCGTTAGATTGCCAGCATATTGCAGCTGGAGGCTGGGGCGTTGTTGCCAAACTTCTGCAGCTGCTTCAGCTAGTTGCAACGCTGCAAAGTATGCAACACATTGCATTGCATAGCTTAATACAACTTCTGAGCGCTGTTCTTAAAAGCATTGTTGCCAAATTTCTTCACTTAAGCTACATTGTTGCCAAACTTCAGCTTCAGATGCGTGCAAGCATTGTTGCCAAACTTCTTAGACTCTTCAAGCTTTGCATCGTATACTAAAGTATGCACTCGCCTATAGAGCATTACTAAGCTTGACTTGTGTTTGCAACGTTGCCAAATTTCCTACATATAATATATAGAATGTAATTCATATAGAAAATAATTATAATTATTATAATTATTTTTCTTAAAGCCAAATTTTTTCGACTTATTGGATGACAGAGTTGCCAGAGTCCATTGTTTATGCATAGAGCATACTAGCGGTTTCTTTTGGGTTTATTTATAGTAAAAATTATGACAGTTTGTTTATTTTGTGATAAGCGTCGATTTATGTTCAGAATTAATTGCAGTTCTATGTAAATTTTCAAGTATTTCAAGCACTGCCCTGTTGCCCAACTTCTCTGCAGCGTTGCCAATTTTCATGCGCCGCAAAGTAAGCGGCAATACGATAGATAGATGCACAAGTGAAATAAATTGCAGCCAAGTCTTTTGTCTCTTTGCCGTTGGCCAAGTTCAAAGTCAAAGACCAAATTAATACCCAACTCTATGTGTGTGTGTGTGTGTGCTCGTTGCAATACAAATACATATATCTGCTGGCGAGCTGGGCAACCACAAACGTGTGGCCTGTCTGGCCAGACACACATGTTCACATTTTAATTTGTGTTGCATTTCCTGTTGCATTTGGCAAAGGACTCGCAAGGATGGCCAGCAGGAGCATCTTTGCTGTCTCGACTGCCGCATAAAATATTGATTGCAATGGGCTTCAGCTGACCAGTAAATGCAGCAGCAGCAGCAGCAGCAGCAGCAGCAGCAGCAGCTGTGGCAGCTGTGGCAGCTAGCCTAGCCGGGCCGACAACAATTTCCTCTGCGATTTTTGGCCATTTATGAATATTCAATAAAAACAACAACAACGAGCAATGGCGATAAAAGTGTCTGCTGCGCGTTGCCATAACCACAGACAGTTTTACAGCAACAATGATAGCAACAACAACAACAACAACAGCAACAAATGCAACACATGAGCCGCACGCTGTCTGTCTGCCAGTGAAAAGTTTTTATCGCCCGCCAGCCCATCAGAGATGCGAGCTGGCGAGTTAGAAGCGCAGGGCAGGCCAAGGAATGGGCGTCTGTGGAATGGGCGTGGCTACTATGCTGCTGCTCAACTTTATTACTTTCATTATGCCACAGCCCTGCTGGCATGTTGCCCATGGCCGGCAGCAACCCTATACGCACCACATCCACACGTGCCCCTCCCCCCTCCCCCCTCACCCATCCCCCTCCCAGTTTGCTGCATAGAGATAAGCCCGGCAGGCAAAGTCCATAAACAAGTTTCGAGTCTAATCTGCAGCTGCGGGCCATGTCCAGGTGCACGTGTACTAATTGCAGCGGTATTAGTGGCGCTTTGTCAGCGGCTTACGGCCACGCCCACCGCCCTGCCCTCTTATGTTCGGCTTGTCATGTCAGTCGACAGAGAGAGCGAGTGACTCTTGGCATTCCATTTGAGTCTCTCGTGTTTTCTTCTTTTTTTTTGGATGTGTTTTTTGAACATGTTTACTGATGCCAGCAGCCGGATATGAGAGCCAGACAGACAAGGACAGGCCACGGCGTCGAGGACAGCACGGCCGGATGCTCGGACGCAGCTTTAAACCTGCTGCTCTAATGAAGTGTGTCCAAACAGAAATAATAGAAAGACCGAGAAAAAAAAAAAAAAAAAAAAAAACAGAAACAGAAGAGCGTTCTTCATTTCGAGCTCCAGCTCCATTGGCCATTGGGCCATCGCCGTTGGCCAGCTGGAAGGAAGTTTGTCACTCCGTTTGATGCTTTGCCTTCGGTGGTGCGCCGGCTGGGTGTCATGTTGCAGACTGAGGAGGCAGGCATCGTGCGCCTAATGGCTGTGACTTTTTGACAGCCACAGCCAGAGCCAAGTGTCCCATGTCCTGAGTGTCCCATGTCCCATGTCCTGTGTCCGGTTTCTTGTGTCCTTTACACAGCTACCCCAACAGCTTGTCTGCGTCTTGCCACTGGCCAGCTTTATGGCCATGGATTTTATGCGCAGCTTATTACATGGCTTCAAATGTTGATTGTATTTGACTTTGGTTGCGGTATAGATATATGCCCATTGTCCAGATTACAATTACATTAGAATCTGGCTATAGCGTCTGTACAGTTATTACGACAATAATTCTGGTCCCGAGGCAAACTTCTAAGGTTTTAGCATCTTCCGGGTATAGCGACGGTCCCTTGAGGGTCGTTATAACCTGATTCTACTGTAGTTTTCTTTTTGGGCTTTTCAACTACCACACTAAGTCATAGTTGCCAAAAACTTCACTTAATCGAATTTAAGGCCAAACTTTGGTGAAAACTCCTTCAACTGCTTATTTATTTTATTTTCATATATAGTAAATGTAGCTGGATAAGCTCATGCACAGTTGACAAATTTCACTAAAGCG